TTACAGCTGCTTTTTGACTAAATCCTTTAATAATTGATTTTTTTTGATAACTGCTTTAAAGAAGTCTAAAATGCACTTTTCAATATAAATACAATTGACAAAGACATGAAAAAGTTTCTTTATAGTAAAAGTTAAATTATTTATATTTCTAATTTGTTTTAGACTATTACGGAAACATTGTTGTAATAGAAACAAAACACAAAATCGTATTTTGATTGACAATAAATGAGAAAATCCACTGAGATTGTCACATAAGATCAATTCAACAAAAAATAATCAAAGAGAATATTCATTTTAGAGATTGTGGAGGAAGCATCCCATGATGCCAAAAATGATTTATATAAACACAAAAATCAGAAAGCTAAAGATTTTTTTCCTCCCGATTTGAAATACAAAGAATAACATTTAAATAAAAAAGACTGAATTTTTTACATATAATTGAATTCATTGTTAAACCCTTTTTTATTTAGAGCTATTATCAATGTTTTAATTTTTTGTATAAATCTTACTTTTTAGAGGCGTAGCCAGAAAATCTGTAATAGGGTGGCAAGGCAATAACCAGTGTACACTGAGGGGTGGCACCAGAACCTCACGGTCAATCTATACTCTTCCAACAGAAAATTAATGAGCAAAACATCCATATTTTCTAAATAAAGACAAACTATACTTTCCTACAGCCTTTGCTAACAAATAGACGCATATATTAAAACATCCATACTTTCTAGATAAAAGGTATAGAGGATCCTTTCAGGTTTGAAGTCTGGGGCATAAATCTCTTCCATTTTCTTTACTTACCTACTTGTATCAACAATCATTCTGCATAAAATCGACATTTATAAGTACTAATATCTACATAAATGGATTAAGATTTTATTAAAATAGCTATTTATTTATGATTTCACTGAAGACTCCTAGATGGCTTGCAGAGACACATAATTTTCTCTTTACCCCATGAAACACAAAATCTAGAAATGGAAACAGCATGAATTCTGAACTAATCATCTTTAATGTTTGTATTATGGTGTGCATAATTAACCACAGTGTTTTTGTTATCAAGTGATTGTTAATATTTGAAATTTTTTAAATGTTTTGAATATTCCAATTGAGAGTGTTACTGCTGTCACTGTCTGTATTAGAAGGAAAAAATGGTAGGGGTGGCCAATGATTGGCTAAGGGTGGCCATGGCCCCCCAATCTAGCTCCGCCCCTGGGTTTAACGTTGCATGTTTTAATCATCTTTTTAGGTCACTAAAAAAAGAGATGAATAACACAGAAGCACGGGCTGATGAATCAACGGAATACCATAGAAATTTGTAGAATGTATGTTATACGTTTTTTTTTTTTTTATTGTGTGAAAATAGGAAAGCATTAGTTCACAGAAGCCGTTTTTACACTAAACGTTTTCCATCCCCAAAAATGAGCGACAAAACGAGTAGACCTAAAAATCCAAAAGGAAAGGACTGCTAATGCTGTAACCGGCGAAAATCCCTAAACCTCACATTTTATCTGATTAAAATAGATCACGAAATGTTGATCAAAAGCCCTTTTGTAAAGATAATTGATCAGATTAACTATGCTCTCACATGTGTTTTGTTTGCGGCATGACTCTATCCAATCAGCATTCGGTTTCAGGTCACCGACACAAGGATTTCAACGCTGATTGGCTGCCAATCAGAACAGCCAGTAGGTCCCGCCTCTTACCGGAAGCTGACAGTCACCTGATTTTGTTAGCCAACCTCAGAGCTAACCAACAAAAATATTGTTTGGTCGTTTATTTCTTTCCCTTTCGTCCCCTTTTCTCTGTCTTTTCGTTCTTTATCAGAAGATAGAATAACTCCCCAGGTTCTCCCTAACCATGGACGAAACCAGTCCACTTGTCTCTCCGCTCCGGGACTCTGGGGATTTCAACTACTGCACCACGGAGCCAAACAGCCCGCGGGGCGCTTTCGGGAACACACCGGGCTCTGTGGTGCGAGTCTCAGCTGGGAGTCCTGGACGGAGTCGGGAGAGACAGCCGCTACTGGACCGGGACCGGGGACAGGCTTCAAGGGAGCATCATAGGAACGAATTCCCGGAAGATCCTGAATTTAGAGAAATCATCCGCAAGGCCGAACGGGCCATAGAGGAGGGGATCTACCCAGAGAGGATCTACCAAGGCTCCAGTGGAAGCTATTTTGTCAAAGACTCTCAGGGGGTAAGAGGAGCCGCATCAAACTCACAACCTCAGGTTACTTAAAGCGCCACAGAGCTAAAGATCTGACAGTTTACTGTAGACCTGGGAACATTTACTGTAGTGTTAGGAAAGAGTTGTGGCCTTTTGTAAACAACCCTTTGATGACTTGGCAGATCGACCACAACACATTTAAGTCCAACATGCATCCTCTTTTACAATATTTAAAGATTAGGGTTATTCAGCCTTAGTAAAATATACCAAACATGACTTCAAAGCACATTTCAGGGGTTTAGGTTATAACAATTAGATTTTTTCTTCTTCTCGTGTTTGCATTTTGTTTACAAGGAGCTAATTTACTGTGCCCCTAAGATAAGATAAGATGGATTGATCTCACAGTGGAGAAATATTAACTTGTCACATCAGCTCAATAGTCAAAAGGAGTAAAAGATGCATGGGGTATATACAGTGCATGTGCATGTATGTATATACAGCAGAAGTCTCTTATTTAACAGGATTATTGCATAGGGTGTTATAGCCTGCTATTCAACAATGGAAAGCCCTTAATGATAGTGAAGATATTACACTTGTTTAGGCTTTCAAACTAAGGTTTCAATATACAGTCGTGGCCAAAAGTATTGAGAATGACACAAATATTATATTTTCACATGATCTGCTGCCCTTTGGTTTTCATGTGTGTATGTCAGATGTTGTCATCACTTACAGAAATTCAATTGCAATCATATTATGAGTAACAAAAGCTTGTAATGACAGAATGAGTTAATTCAGCAAGTCATTATTTGCAGTGTTGACCCCTCCTCTTCAGGACCTCTGCAATTCTTCCTGACATGCTCTCAATCAACTTCTGGACCAATTCCTGACTGATAGCAATCCATTCTTGCACAATCAATGCTTGCATTTTGTCAGAATTCCTAGGTTTTCTGTTGTCCACCCGTCTCTTGATGATTGACCACAAGTTTTCAATGGGATTAAGATCAGGGGAGTTTCCAGGCCATGGACCCAAAATCTCTATGTTTTGCACCCTGAGCCAGTTAGGTATCACCTTTAGTTTATGGCAAAGTGCTCCATCATGCTGGAAAAGGCATTTTTCATCACCGAACTGATCTTGGACAGTTGGGAGAAATTGCTCTCAGAGGACATTCTGGTACCATTCTTTATTCATGGCTGTGTTTTTTGGTAAGACTGTGAGAGAGTCGACTCCCTTGGCTGAGAAGCAACCCCACACATGAATGGTTTCAGGATGCTTTACAGTTGGCATGAGACAAGACTGGTGGTAGCGCTCACCTCGTCTTCTCCGAACAAGCTGTTTTCCAGATGTCCCAAACAATCAAATTTAGTTAGCATGCTCCTGAATAAACTGGACCCATAATATAGAAAAGCAAATAAATCTGTCTTCTGCAATACAACTATGAGAAATCTTTTTGAAAACAAAAAGGCTTCTTTATCTTGCAGATAAAAAGAAAAGAAAAGAAAACAGTCCAAATTTAGCTTGTTGGTCTTTAAAGGTAAGGCCCACTGAACCTGTTTGATCATATAAAAGTAAAAGTATTTTACTTCCTTTAAATCGGTGGTTTCCACCCTCTTCATCACATATAAGTAATCATCACCTCAGTTAATCGTTTGAAACAGGAATGTTAAACTTTGGTTTCCTGCAACCTTTAGTTTTGTCTTTGCTTTAAAAAGACTAAATGAAACATTTAGGGTCTTTGGTAGGGTTCTATAGAACCAGATGAAATGTTGAGGAAGTAATTAGGCCTTTTGATTCAGATGGGGTTGGCCAGGGACTCGTCTAAAACTTTACAGGATGCCGGCTGTTTAAGTAGTTTAACACTGCTGATCTGAAATAAAAGTGAGTCTTAAAAAAACAGCTATAAAATCTTAATTCTAGTGTAAATTTTACAAGGAATACAACAAATGGATGTATACAATATTTTTGTGTTTGATGGTTTAGCTTTGTCTTTGTACCTTATAAGTTATATGGTGGATCAGGTCACAAATCTGCTTAAATTATGTACTGGATCTTGGAAGCTAACAAGTTGAAGAATAACTGGTTAAGGTTTGCTGTTACTAAGTGAACTAAACCAGTGTTATAAAGGCTTAATTAGCCTTTCATAATTGCAGACAGTACATCTGTTTTGCTTACTCTAGAATTATTTTCAATCCATTAATTATTTCTGTTCCACTTTACTAGCAGACTCAACGCAGCAGGACAAAGTTGATTCTGTGGACTCTTCAAAAAGAAACACACCCATACCTATTAAATTTTCAGTTCCTTTAAAGGTAGATTTCCTGCCAGATTCTTAATGGGCTTTAAATACCAGTTCTATGGTATTTTAGGGCTTAACAAGCAATGATAATACTTACTTGATAGTGTTGACTAGTAGAAACCAAGTAGTAAATGCCATCAACATTTTTGTATTTTTTTCTAGTTTAAAATCTACCTTTCATTAGTAAAACAAGCTTAACAGATACTTAGAAACTAGAGTATTAAAATGCCTATTAAACACATGCTAGAGCGTGCATAAGCACAATTCTTATTGTGCACGCTCTGTTCAAAAGTTGCTGTTTGCGTCGCTCATACAAGCTTAGCCAAAAGATTTTATTCCACCATGTCAGACTCCCCACCGGTAAGTGAAAATGTAGACGAGCACGTAGGATGGCCTTACATACACATATCACCATAATGATTGACAATTAGGAGGACGACTTATTTAAATGATCCACCTGGAAAAAGAAGATTCAAGCTAGGAGAAAGCATTTTTTCTTTTTTCCAAGCCAACAGATTGGTATACAGAAATGAGGGAGGGTCTTAACCTGCCTCGTCCCTGAGATGTGTTTAAAAGGACTCCTAATTTTAAACAGTTTGTTGAAAATGTTTGTAGTAACTTGAAAACGTATGTATACCTCGATACCTCCCTTAAAAAAAAAAGCAAACTTGTGCGTTATACAATTATCTTGTTTTTCATTCAGTCCTTGACCCTGTTCAGTTTGCTTTATTACATAGTGTGTTTCTACTACTTATTGAAGTCTTCTGAACCAAAGTCAGATTTGTGTTTGTGGGCTCAAACATGGCTATTAAAGTTGATCATTTTCCTTTTAAATTGGACTTAAGTTGTACGAGTACAGCTATACTGGCAGATGCTAATCATTTCAGATTCATCTGCTTAAGAAAGTATCATGTCAGTGCTTGCCTCCATCCTGCCATCACACTGATCAAACACTCTGAGATAACAGCTTCCTCCGACCGGTTTGTTTTTCCCTCAGAAACATTTTGAAATTGAGTTAAACCAAAAATGTTGAGCTCACATGCCTTCTTTGTTGCAGCGGGAGTCGTCCTAATGGATGGACAGCGTTTCAGATAAACCTGTCACTATGGAGAAATTAGAGGGGTTTCTGTCCAGAATAATTGCTTTAAGCTTTAATGGTGGCCGCTGGATTTAATGAAGAGCCTCAAGTGACTCACATGGCGGGCTTTCCTAATAGTTCCCATCAATGGTTCCCATGTTGTGTAACAGAGTGGGGAGAAATAAAGTACAGGAAATCTCTGTTTGAAAGTTCAGTTTAAATTCTCAACGTTTTTATATTCAGTTTGTTAAAAATGAAACAAAAGAAGGTCTTTCATTTCAGTCTCTTATTTCAACGTAAGTCTAGTTTAAAACAGATAATTAATCAGGGGAGAAGTTTTCCTTTACACACCGAGCTGCCGCCATTGACCCTCATCACTGCGGTTTCTTAAGTTGGTCACCACTATGCTAAGTAGTCATGTGCTAGCTCTCTGAGGATTTTTGTTCTTGTAATGGTGTGGGTGTGTGTGCAATAGAAGAGAAATGTGACTTCTGTACTGGAGTCTGAAATCACACCACACCCCAAACTGTCCTCATGTTGTCAAAATCCTCATCCTCTTTTAGATTTAGGGGAAGTTTGCGGCTAATTTAGCCAATGAAAACTGTACAACCTGTTTTTTTCTTGTATTGGTTAATCCACATTTTTGCTTTATTGAACTTATAACTCATAAAGGTTATAACCTAATCCTTTTTTTACACTCCCCTTTGTTACAGTGGATTGCAAAATTACCAACCTATTTAATAATAATAATTAAATCATTTAATTTAACTCTAATGCATTCATTTGGGTTTTATCCATTCATCCATCCATTTTCTGTCACGCTTATCCCAAGCGGGGTCGCGAGGGTGAGAGGCGAGGTACACCCTGGACAAGTCCATTGCAGGGCAACACAGAGAAACAGGACAAATAACCATTCACACACACCTAAGGAGAATTTAGAGAAACCAATTCACCTATCAGTACATACACAGTACTGAAGTACATAAAAGTGAAGTAGAAGAACAAGGACTTGTGCCTCTCCAAGACATTTTCAAGCAACTTATTTCAATTCATCCTCTTTTTAGTGTTAACTCCAAATAAAATGTATAATTTTTTGATATATCTCTTGAGCTTTGCAGATCTAGAGACTTCGTATAGTTTACCTTTTCATTTTCTCCATCAGATTGAGCAGAGTTAGAATGGACACAGCACTAAAAATGTAATGTTTGCATGCCACAGTATTTCTAAATATCATTTGAATCCTATTTATAGTCCTTTTTTGCCACTTCAGTTATGAACTACCTTGTGTGTCGCATCACATCAAATTCCAATAAAAGACTAAAGCTTGTGGTTCTAATTTGACAAAACATGACAGAGCTCGAGGGGAAGGATTTTCAATCTAGTGATAAATTTGTGCTCTTAAGTTTATACAGTTCCTCATATACACAATAAATGCTTTCCTAAATGCCTGTTTTATCTGCCCCACCCCCGCACCTCTATCTTTTCAGAAAATTATTGGTGTCTTCAAGCCAAAAAATGAAGAACCGTATGGCCAGCTGAATCCCAAGTGGACAAAGTGGCTCCAGAAACTGTGTTGTCCCTGCTGTTTTGGCCGCGACTGTTTGGTTTTAAACCAGGGCTACCTGTCAGAAGCTGGAGCCAGCCTGGTTGATCAGAAGCTGGAACTCAATATTGTCCCCAGGACCAAGGTATAACCCTTCACACTCCTGCCTACATATTGTCTACAAAACCATTTGAAGCTTCTGTTCTTAAACAAATGTATTTATATATTTTTTAACAGCTTAAAGTGACTCTCTGAGATGGATTATACAATATTAGAACTATAAATAACTTACCAGTAAATAAAATTTACTGTGAGGTTTTTTTCAAGGCTGGACATTAATCAAATGTCTATATTTATCCATATCATTTTGGTAAATAATGTTAATGTGGCATTTCTTATATTTCATTTACAGAGTATGACTTCAGCCTTTGTCACTGGCTGATATTTTATTTACTTTTATATGTTTTGTGATATTTCTAAAATGTTTTAATAATTTACATAAATTTTTACAGGACTGTTGTGTTCATCCATGTCCAGTTTTTTTTAGGGTTTTGTGTTATTTATATCGAAATTGTTTCGGTCAGGTTTAATAAACATTATAATTTCTGTATATTGTGATATACATTTTTTTCTAGCATGATTTCAAGGTTTATCTGTGATGTTTAAAAAAGCCTAAAATGTCAATCAAACTTTGTCGTTTAGCTTGTCTACAAGTCAGTGCTTTGTTTATCAGGTCGACCGTTTAAAACTAGGCAGACCTGACGAGTTATTCTATCCTCTGACTTTTTGTCATTCAGTTGCTTTTCCTTATATTACTCTGTACTGCGGCTGAAGCAATTGAGATTAATCTGATTAATCGATCATTGAAATAATCATCAACTGATTTAGTAATCGATTAATCATTAATTGGAGTATATAGACTCTAAAACAGGCCTTTAGCTGACACAGCAAACCACTTAGAGAACAAATTATACCAAAATTGTGAAAAATAATTAACATTTTGCATTCAAGATGAAAAAAAAATTAATTTGCTCTATCCAGAACTCCTCAAGTGGAAAAGTTTAATTTCGTAAAAAGCCCTTTTTAACTGCTATCCGATTATTAATCGATAAATCGAAAAATTATCAGCAGATTAGTACTATTAAACCTACGAAGGAAAATATGTGGAATTATTCAGCAAACAAAATTATTGTGAAATAAGTAAAATACCCCTCCTCCACTTTGACTATTGCTTTTCACACACTTGGCATTCTGTTGATGAGCTTCAGTGGGTAGTCACCTGAAGGGGTTTCTCCAGTAGAAATCCACAGAGGTGGTAATAAAAATAAAGATTAATCACTGAATGAGAAGCTGTGTACAAACATTTGACTGGCTGGATAAAGAACGGGTGCAGGCAGCCAAAAATCAAAAAATGGTTGAAACAACCAGAAATTAAAATGTTGTTGCCTGGAAAATAGAAAAGGCTTATCATTTATCTAAAATTTACATTGAAATATGTAATATAATTCGTCTTGCATGAGGATTTAACAGCAACGAGCATTTATTGGAAATGCTTTGGTTTCAAAATTTCCCAAAGTGTAAGGGGAACTGAACTGTATCTGTAGGATCTTCTTCCTTGCTGTTGCAAGTTTTGCAGGAAGGGAATTTCATCTATTGTGTTTAGAGAATTTTTATCAAAAAATTTGTTTTGAAAAAAATGAATATATATTTAAAGGTAATTGATTATATCACAGTAGAAACTGAATGTGAATTTCTGCCCTCTTTCTAGTAAAAGTTAACTTTCCAAATAAATAAATAACCCTAAGATCCTGTCTTTTTTCATTGGCGGTATTAATCCATAAGTTATTTTTCACCTTTCTTACCCACCGCAATGTTTTCTGTGCTTTCAAAAGTTCTTTCTTAATGTCTAATAATCATTACTGGAGAACAGCTGCATACAACTTCTACAAATTGTGAAAAAAGGTATTGAAACTCTTACTGTTGGGTTACATGGTATGAGCATTATATTATACTACATTAAGCTCAGTAAATATGGTATGCATATCCTAAATGTAAGATACTTGATATTAAATCAGACCAAATATGCCACAATGGTAATGTAGGAGAAGGATTATTTTAATCTTGTATTTCCATACTGTTTTTGTATTGAACTATCAATTTCTCTACTATTTTTAATCTGCCTTTCAATTGAAATAAATCTACCTTGGGAATTTTCCAACCATAAAACAAGTTTGAATTTACGTAGTGACATTTTCTGTTTTATTGTCATTTCAGGTGGTGTATTTGGCAAGTGAAACGTTCAACTATAGTGCCATCGATCGGGTCAAGTCACGAGGGAAACGGCTGGCTCTAGAGAAGGTGCCCAAAGTCGGCCAGCGCTTCCACAGAATCGGACTCCCACCCAAGGTTAATTTACTCACAGAACATTTCAGCTTTACTTTTTTTTGGCTAGCTTGTAGGGAAAAAATAATTTGCAAATAAGGTTTTTCACATTTTTAAAAATTCTAAAAACTCATTTTATTAGTGTCTAATAAGTTGTTGGTTTTTTTGTCCCTATGTTAAGATTGCTTGTAAATAGGACTATTCTAAGTGCAATGGAGCTAATAGCCTAACAGCAGTGCTGCTAATCAGTACCTACAGTTCATTGCATTAATGCCAGAAATGGTTATCAGTGAAATCATTACAGAATCCATTCTTCAAGTTTTTAGCTTAAATTTCAAAGCAGAAAATCAGACCACGGGACAGAAGTTAATCCAATTGGTAAATTTAAGGTCTATGATCTGTCAAGGTTGTCATTTTAATGCAGTTTATGGAATATTTTATTTTTAAAGACTTTTTACTTTGAAACATGTCAACAACCACCCCCATTCCAATTCTTTTCAGCAAAGATCCTTTTCACACATCACACTCTGTAATTCATTCGGCTCTATCACAGTTATTTTAACGGAAGGACTATTAAGGTAGTTAAACCAGAAGGTTTTATAACCTCATGATGCAAGTCATTTTGGCCATTAGGCAGCGCATTCCATCAAAATCCTGCCTCCTATTCAGCTGTACCTAGCAAATAAGAGTCTAATTAATCAAAGATTACATTACCGTACATTTATACAAAAGTGTACATATGTCCAAAAAGCAAAGCAATTTCCAAATTTATTAAACCATGCATCAAACCTGTGCGCAAAGTTTTTCGTTTAAGGCTCCTCTTCATGTTCTTCCCTCTGCACACAAAGTTCAACCTTAAATGGTCCAATACAAGCTCCACATAAATGACATAGTGTAATTAAATGAGCCAGCTCATCAATATTATTTGGTGGTTACTAATAGCAACTTCTGAAAAGAGAATGCCCAGTTTAACTGAGGTAGAAACAGCTGTATTTGAGCTGGAGAATTGGATGTTGGATAGCTACAATAGTTTTATGACAAATAAAAGAAGTATGATAAATCAGAGGACTGATCGTATATACAGAAATATTCAAGGCAGCAGGCAGTATTTGACTTTGCGCTGGTTGTGATATCTCAGCTTTATAGATAAATTCACGGAATGATTTTTTTCCTAAAAGTTGCTTCTGGCAAGGAATTAATTAATATTTTATTATGATTAGGAGCAGATAAGAAACCTGGATTGGCTAACAGCAATAATTTATTATATATTATAAATAAAAAATCTTAAAACCTGGAGAAGATGCCCACCGAGGTACCTATAAGATTTTAAAGGTATAGTGGAGGATAGTCCCGAATTTTTGAAAAGAACAGCCCTCTCCACTTAAAACATAAGAAATAACAAATGCACATGCACAACCCTCTGCTCCAGAGAGGGAACGCTTATTAAACGTATGTGACAGCATGCACCAGCCCATTCCTCCTCATTTTACTAGCAGTGATGTGAAATGGATTTCTCCAGCAGATCAGAATCCATCACACACTCTTATGCTTGGACGTGATAGCTGTATTAAAAAAGCTGTCCAGCAATCGGTGTAAATGCCTAACATCTCGTTAAATTTATCTACTGATCCGTGGTATGATTCACCTGGTGATGACTGGGGAGAGGAATGAGTTCTCTGATTCAGGATCGAGCTTCTCATGGGCCTCTTTTATTGATTTGAACGGTCCTTAAGGGTAGCTCACTAGTGGGAGCATGTTTACACTGTGAGATTAGATGCTGTGACAATATAGCACTATGATTAAAGTTTTACAGTCAACATCTACGAAGATTATCTCCAATCAACCAACAAAACTACCTGTATCGCTGTTTTCCATTGTCCTCCAATGGGGTGTGCAGGGGTACACACAAACATGGGATCCCAAACACAGTGGGCCAAATTTGTTTTGGATAGCTCACAACCTTTGTGTGGAAATCGACCTGTGCAAGTTTCAGGCCTACATGATTCACATCCCAGAACACTTTCGATCTCAGCTACTACCATGCGGATGAGACACCTCAGGGATGGACACGGAAATGCGGTACCAAAACGGTCCCAGTGCAACAAGCTTCAGCATTATCGTTTCTCTTAAGCAATTTATTAAGCTGTTATTTCACTTTTTAATGAGACTCCAACTCAAAAAAACATAGTACTGCCAATCTATTCCTCCTTAAGAAACGGAACACTTATGGGGCTAAAGCTCTGCTCTCATATGTTGTCTCACTAACTCCTCAACAATGTTTTAAATTTAGCGACTTCTTCACTATATTTAGTGACTTTTCAGATGCTTCTGTGATGTTTGAGACTTTGACAGCTGAATACCAACGAACGGGATGAGTTTAAGGTGTTTGGCGACTGCAGTTCTGAGCCCATCTCGGTTCTAAAGCTCAGAGAGTCGATGGTCAGTCAGTCATCCTGGCTGTGCAGCAACTAGGACGGAAGACAGAAACCCATCTGTTTTCCCAAAATGAGTCGCTTTGCATGAACAAAGATTCCACTGATTCCAACCTAGATGATACAGTGGGACAATGAAAATGTTATATTTAACCTTTTCTTTATTCTTGGACATTGTGACACTTGGATCTTCGCTGTAATTGATTCATGCACAGCCTCCCACATCATATTCTGTGGGTTACTCTGCTATCATTTGTTTAAGTTAGATGATATATTTACAAAATCTACATATATAATGTTGATTCTGGTAAAATATAAATGAACTCTTGAGTTCAGATCTTCTAGTTTTAAGCATTTTTATCAATTTGAATTGCTAATTTGTAATTTAATTATATCCTCCTACAATAATGCAACAAACTTTTTTTTTTTTTTTTTTTTATTTTTTTTGAGGTGTTCGGTAAGTACGCCTAGCTGCAGAACTCATATTCTGTTTGAGCATGATGGTTTTTGAGCCTAAATATAGGCTAGTGCGCCAACCCTTGTGATGCCACTTGTGTGTCAGATTTACGAGCTTCCCTCATAAGATCTTAGTATGTATATAAGAAAATGCACTTAATTATGCAAACTATTTTACGGCTTTTCAAATGTTTTCAGTCAGAGCTTTTCCTTTATTTTTAACAATTCTGTTTGATTAAAATAAAACTATCGATAAGGAGTATCATTTAAAGTAGTAGTATTGATAAATCAGTCATTCTGATCACATAATCCAATTTCCAAATTATACCCCGACTATTTGTTATGCATAATTACATAAGATATAAAAAGAAAAATCTGGGCCCACATCTGTTAAATAGTCTTTTTTTTTTTTTTTTTTTTTTTTTTTTTTTAAACCTGCACAGGTTGGCTCCTTCCAACTGTTTGTTGACGGATACAAGGATGCCGATTTCTGGCTTCGGAAGTTTGAAGCGGAGCCTCTCCCAGAAAACACAAACCGTCAGCTACAGCTACAGTTTGAACGGCTCGTTGTCCTTGATTACATCATCAGGAACACAGGTAATGGTTACCAAAATATACATATTCAAGTCATTTATGGAAATATAACTTATTCTGATTTGCCCAGTCTTTCAGATGTCACTGCTGAGTAAAATGTTTGCCTATTTTGAATCTAGATAGAGGAAATGACAACTGGCTGCTGAAATATGACTTACCCATGGATTCTGGGGGGAACAGGGTGAGGAAACACACTTGTACACAAACACAGACCCACATGTTGTGTTTTGGTATGACATACATTTATTTCTATGGCCTAACCCAGACCCTTACCTCGACTTTACCCATACAGACACATATTTCACCCTAAACCTAAGCTAAACTCAATACCTACTTTAGTCCTAACCCTAGAACTCAGAAGAGAACCTTCCAAATGACCAGTCAGCTGGTCCCCACAAGTATCTGTAAGTCCCACCAATGTATTATGTTCCTGGGAAATTTCTCCACAAGAAACGAAACACAGTTCCTCTGCCCCAAACACGCATTCTAGCCTTGCTTTAAATAGTAAAGCTGCTGTTTATTTCCATTGTTTTAAGTCATATTCACTACATCATATTCTGCATCATATGGAGCCTTTAACACTGTCAAAGGCATTTAACGTTTACAAATATACAAATATTGTTTGGTATTATTTTTGGATTGCCTATCAGTACACCAAACACCATGGTGGCATTTCATTGGTGACTCTTTTAGTCCATATATTTTACATTATATCTTATATTATATATAAGTACCCTGTTCTTATTGGGTTCCTAACATTGCCTGGCTGCCACACCTACCCATTTACATGCTGACATATCTTGGAAGACCCAATTTTAGTAATTTGTGTTTTGTTTTTAGCTCTGACAGATCATGTTGTGTGTTTTTCAACTGTTTTAATGTTAAGTTTTCTTTATTGATTTCAGGACACAGACTGGGTTGTAGTCAAGGACCCTATCATCAAGTTGGCAGCTATAGACAATGGCCTTGCCTTTCCACTCAAACACCCTGACTCCTGGAGAGCATGTAAGTAAATTTACCTGCACATCTTTATCATAACTGCATATCTATTAGGGTCGTTGGTCTTTTTCACTGATGAAATATCCAAGTTTGGAAATTAAACAAGTTTCATTGATATAATTGTTTCATTGTTGACTTTACAGACCCTTTCTACTGGGCGTGGCTGTCCCAAGCTAAAGTTGCTTTCTCCCAGGAAATCAGGGATTTGGTGCTACCCAAACTTTCAGATCCAAACTTTATCAAAGATCTGGAAGAGGACCTCTATGAACTATTTAAGGCAAGGAGAGCTTCAGCACAATCATCAGCTGTAGCTTTAAAATAAAGTACGAGTCCGTGATTAAAACACCAGATAACATGTTTCCTATTTTTGTGTTACAGAAAGATCTAGGTTTTGACCGGGGACAGTTTCAAAAACAAATATCTGTTATGAGGGGACAGGTGAGTTCACTCTTCACCTCCATTTTGATTAGTCTTAAAATCTAAAACTGACTGAAGTTTATCAACATCTTTTAGTTGGTTAGGCGTTTAAGTGTTTGTGTTTCCATCTTCAGATCCTAAACCTTTGCCAAGCACTGAAGGAAGGTAAATCCCCGCTCCAGCTGGTCCAGATGCCTCCAGTTATCGTTGAAACAGCTAGAGCACCTCAAAGAGCAAACAGTGAATCCTACACGCAGAGCTTTCAGAGTAGAAGACCCTTCTTCACCTGGTGGTAGGACCAAAGGAAAAACAGCAGCAGATTCAAATTGCTTTGGTGAGAAGCATCTCCGCATGGATGCAAGAGAAAAAATCCCGCTACCTCTCCTCTCCTTGTGGATTTTTTTGTTTTTGCTGCAGAAGAAGGTTGTTGGACGGAGAAATTAGGCAAAAGAAGAGGGATTTCCCAAAATATCATCCCTGTTTGCATCCGTGCCTTGTGTGAATATGATCAAAGAAGGTTCTGTGCAATGGCATTGTTTTCTGCACTCATGGGTGCATGTTATGGTTACTTACCCACCCACTTGCACACCAGTCAGAATCTTCTCATTGGTTTATTTTTGAATGAGAGGTTTCTTGCATTCCATTTTTTTTGTTTTTATTTTTTATTTTTTTCCTTGCACCTGTCCATACTTGTACACATTTCCTCTGCTACGCAGTGCCAATACAATTGTTTTTCATTAGGTTAGAGAAGTCTTTCCTGAGGCTTACTCACACATTTAGGAAGAGGGCACTGAAGTGGTTTGTATGTCCAAAATTTGACCATATGAACTGGTTTCACGATATGCATTGTCTCCATGGTGATTGCAATGCAGTAACACTGAGGTACGTACAGTTACAGAGTTTCGATAAAATAGGAGCCATATAACTTGTTTGCCTAAATTTCATTTTCCTGCAAATGAATAATTTTATGAAAAAGGAAAGTTATGCATCTTTAACTAAACAGTGAGGTGTGACAATTTCTAGCTGCTCCTGTTTTTCCTCCGTCATGATGATTGTTAGATCATGATGATTTGTGGCTCTTGTGTGGACCCGCTTGAAAGAGAGGAAGTAACACGCTACTGAACTGACATGAAATGTGTTGTGACAGTGCACTGTATAATTTGTATGTAATATTTAATGAAAATTATAATTAAAACATATTCAACTAATACTGATTTCTGCTGCTTTATTTATTTATTCATGTATATATTTATAGGGTAATATGAGGTACAGTTGTTGCCTTATGCTAATACTTTTTTCTCATTAAAAATATTAAAAAAAATTTGAAGTAGTTGTTTTAAAGAAATTACTTAAAACTCAATATTTTTTGACATCTACATTAAGTATATGTATATATATATATAATTATTATTATTATTATTATTTTTTTCATTCTTCGCTAGTTAGGAAGGACCTCATGAAATTCAAAGTGCTAAATTTAACATTCTGAGCTCCAATCCAAATGTGTCACACAGCAAATGTCTATTATGAGATTAATTGCAACTGCAGCATGTATGCAAAACCAAAAGTGCCACAAATTTATAAACAAGCAGGAAAAAGACATAACACTACCATGTAAAGTGCACCGGATTAGATCTCCGATATCAAATTACCGATATCTGATCCAGCTAATTAGTCAATATCTGAGCCCATATCTGATCCAGGTATCAGATCGGTGCATCTCTAGTAAAAAGGGACATAGCTACCCTAGATACAGTGTTTGCATTCTATCTATGCTTCAGAAAGAAGATAAAAGTTCCTCTACTAGAGATATTCAGCAATTGTCCTTGATAGATAGAATTTTATTGTTAAAATATTGTTTTTATTACATCTTATCAGCCTAAAAGTATCTGCTAATTTTCCCAAACTGAAGGTAGATTATCAGAGGGAAACTAATAATAATTAAAAGAGACAATTTGCCATCTAATCAAGTAAAATAAGTTATTATTGATTGAAAATGTAGCTATAATTTAAATTCACCCCGGTTAAAATCAGCTAGGAATTTCACATCTTAAAAAGTTCAAAGATTATTTCTATACAACATATTCAACCAAAGAAACATTTCATATACAACTATATACAATTACTATTGTCATTCCACACAATGAGTTCTGTGAAACCAACATAGTTTGATGGTGTATCTATAATTTGTGTCTAATAAATTTTCCAATGGTAAATTATTTAATTTTTTCAGATTGAAATCTGCCCAAACGCTTGACAGTGATGACAGCAATAGCAGACACATCCTTCAGTGCTAAAATAGTATTTTGATACATTAGTCCTTTCCTCTCCCTCAACCACAAGGGGCATATTTTGTCAGTGGAGGATGCGGTGAAGGTAGCGTTCAGAGTCTCTGGCACTTTCCATCCTAATGCCCAACCTCCATGATGATGGCTTGAAAGGATTCCCTGTAACATCTTCGTCAGCTGATAATTTAAATCTCCCCAGGCTTGTCTGATCATCGTTATCTTCCACAGGGTAGACAGCTGATGGTTCCTCAACCCTGGAGATGGAAACGATGACACTGAGTTAATTTGACCACAATTCATCTTCAAACAGAAACTATTTAAGAAAGATCAGTAATAAGGCCATACATGGAATAAATAATTATAATACATTAACTGCTTATAAGCAATGATTATACTTTTAAATAAGAGCTATAAATAAGAGTTTTTTAGTTGGACAAAAATAATTTCCCATTCAAAAAGTAATATTAGAAGAACAGAATTCAACTTTATTGTCATTACTACAAAGCAACGAAATTCGCTCTCATTTAACCCATCCTTTTGGGGAGCTGTGGGCTGCCATTGTGCGGCGCCCAGGCAGCAGTGTGGGGTTAAGGGTCTTGCTCAGGGACCCAGAGTGGCAGTGGGGCTTGAACTCAGAACCTCTGGGGCTCAAGCGTAATGCCCTAACCACTAGGCCACCACCCCTGCTAGAAGTATGGTACTTTAGGATATATTGGAGGATATAGTAATCTAACAGAGACTATTTTGTCAAAAAGACACAACACATTTAGTTTTTGAATGGCAAGCTTATTCAGATAAGGTCACACCGATGCAATTCTTAGAGAAAGTCTAGAAAGTCTTTCTGATGAAATGGCCTGTTCTGCGGGTGGTATGGACCAATCTATTCTTTTTATGCACATCAGATTTTCTTAAAAAGTAAGCCTGGTTTCTTCAGTATAACTATTCTCTATATTCACCCCTTTTTAATAATGTGTTTAGCTTCATGACTTCCCTCACCAGACGAGCTTCATCTCAGTGAGGAATGTGAAACATGCAGCATAGTGTGTGCCTGTGAAAAGCAGACCAGGATTCAAACTCAGAAAGCTACTAAACATTTTCACATACCTGAGATACCCTGATGTTTTCAGCCACTTGTGTTCACTTTGTCCATCCACTCTTATTCCATTCTTATTCCTGGCTCGAACTCTTAGTCCCACCAAGGCCTGGGCCAGGCCCACTTCATCGTCATTCTGCTCTTCTTCATTCTGCTTTTCTTCATCTGCCCCTTCCAGATTTGTCTCCACATCCTGCCATACTAGCTTTGCCCGATTTTCTGCATTTCGGTCCCCTGCTGTTCTAAAGAGCCTATGTAGTTGATGCAGGTTCACCCCTGAAAAGATGTTGGAATACCCAGACTTTCGACTGCGACGACTGGAAGGTTTCCACTCTGCAGGTAGAGCATCCTTAGTGGAGTTGGGTTCCAGGGCCTCTGCCATTTTCTTTTTTTGGTGAGAGTTTTTCTTTATCCTAAACAAGAATAAAAAGAAATGGTAACCTTGGAGAAAAATATTTAGCTGTCTGTGAAGAGAGGTAAACACTAGATAGGATGGCGAAAACGCTGTCTGACCATAAAAACAGTGTAAAAATGTAAGGGACTGCTTAATTTTTTTAATGCCAACAAAGAATTTGATATTAATTACAATTAATTAAAGTAGGTTAAGAATTTATTTTAATACTCGGATTTAATAAAGTAGAAAAAAACTTTTACTGACTAATGATTTACATAAATTTATGTCTTGTTAAGAGATATCTTTCTCATGTCTTTCAAGAAAAAAACGTTTGAATAAAATCTAGTTAAAATCCAGATCTTTAAGGAATATTAAAAACATTTTTTTTACTCAACTGTATGATTTAATTTTTGAGAGAAATGCCATATTTGAGGATCTACTATATTTCAATGAACAAACCTTTCACCTTTTTAACAAATAAGCCAATGAATCAGTCCAGCTCTGTAGCAGTCCATGCTGTCCTGGCCATATTTGTCGAATAGGTTGAAGTTTGAAACTTTAAAATAATCTATACATTTCTATGTTTACAACTTCTGATGATCTTATTTCTCAGAGAAATGATTGGAATAAAAAAGTGTTTTATTGATCCATTTTGTTTTAGGGTTTAGAAGCCTACTTGATCAGTTATTTAGAATTGCATAAAATGTTGAGTGAGCAGTCTGAGAGCTGTCCTTTTACATTTAATCTTTTACAGATTTTTCTATGAGGTAGCCTACCCCAAAATGTATCTTCTTTGCCATATAAAACCCATTAGATGACATTCCACAAAAGCTTCATCTAAACTAAAAATCAAGCTCCTAACTCTAGGAACATCTTTTGGAGAAACAAGAAGAATGTGGTCTAACTATTGTGCTTACCTTAGGCTGTGTGGATCAAACGAGAAGGTCTGCCTTTACACTACAGGCAGACACAGACAACCTAATTACTGAGACAGCATCTAGACTGCTGCCTTCACCACCACCTAATGCTGAGCTGACCCACTTCTAACTGCAGCGTCAGAGGCAAACAGAGCTGTGGGGGGAAGGAATAATCAAAGAGTAATCCAGTCATGACGTCAAGCCCAGGGCGCTCACCTCAGTCTGTACATAAAGAAGCAGAAAGAATTTAACAAACTAGTAGAGACTGTGTAGAAATATCAATGCTCAGGCTGAGTCTGATAATGTTTAGCAATAGTAGTGTGGAATGGTTCTTTGGGAATATAGATACTGAACTACGCAATTTGCTTTCTACAGCAAGAATGCATAGATGTGTTTTAATTCAGGAAAGTCTTCTTGCTCTCCTTGGCCTCCTTGCTGGTCTTTAGCTTCCTCTACAGATTCTTTATCAGATTCAAGTTTGCACTCTGGTTATGGCATGGAAATAATGTGATTTTATTTCTAGTCAGTAGATATATGGAAAAAAGGAGTTTATTACCTAAACCCATCAGAGGCATTGATAATTTTGGATTTACCATGATGTTGCACTTTATTTCTTTTGTTTGCTTTTTGCTGTTTTATATAATATATACATGTGGCCATGGGAGGATTGCAAGCCAGCATGGTAGAAATATAAACGCTAATTATGAATTAATTTAGAACAGAGATTAATTCATCCTTTCAACAACGGAACATAATAGTTTACTACATTTTTAATGCCTGAAATAATATATGGTTTTAAACCATTTTTTGCAAGATTAAATCTTGGAGAGGAAGCCCCCCCAAACAGTTCATTTGATAATACGATCTTTAGACATTTTTTTCTTATTCCTTTAATCAATGTACTAGATATAATTCTTTACCCACAATAGATACCCATATGCTAGACTATAGGAAAATATAAAACTCACAGACAACCACAATTAAAATATTTGTATTTTTTTGTCTAATAATCCATATTACAGTATTATTTGTATACACTCTATACACTTTGTGTAATTTTTCATTTGATCTACAACAATAGTTCAAAACGACCATTTAAAATTATCATACTTGACTGGACCTGTGAAAATTTATCTTTAAGATGTTTTCAAAAAATGGATTGTATTTTATTTACTGAAGGTGAGTCTTTTATGATGTTTTGATGGACATAAGATTACTCAGTAATGTTTCTGATCTGTTTGAAATGTCTTAGAAGGAACAGGTAGAATGAACAAACCAGAAACAACTTAGGGGTTAAGTAGTCCAAGATGTCTGGTGGCTCAATTACAAAGGCTGGGTCACAATTAAAGCTTTACAAAGAGAAAACAGGATCAATAAAAGTCTGATCAAACGCAAAAATGAAACGCACCAGGAGAGGGACCTAATACCACAACAACAGACATGAAAATAAGAACAGCTGCAGGTCAAACTTGTTCAAAAGGAGCTGCAATAATAAGTTTGTCTATTAAATTGTATATATCTGTCAACCAGTTTGTGTCAATACAGCAATCTTCTAGATCAGGTATTCATCACCCATCCATTAGTTCGCTCTTAGATTGTCTTAATAAGATCAATATTCTTAAAAAAAAAAAAACCGAAGTAGAAAGGAGGTAACTTTATCACTGAGCTATTTTCATGTAGCTAAAATCTGCTTCCATGTTTTTATAACTTAAATATGTGGTGAGTGTCTTACTTTCTTTGTGACACATGAATGCAACATTAATCAGCCAGCAGGTGTGAGAGGGTATATATGTATATTTGGCTCCTCTTCAGGAATAGCCAACACTTTGTTTATTGGACTAATTTCAGCTTTAGTAATTTTTTTGCAAAAGCTAGATATGAGTCGACTTTTTGTTGGACTGGTGAAGGCTCGACAGGCTCAAATATCCAGAATGTGGGTTCAGCAAAGAGCAACCTATATCCATGATAAGCCACCTAAAGACAAAATTGGAGGTGTGGTAAGTTCTAATCATCCATCTTGACTTTAGATCTTTTCTTAGAAAGTTATTCTTTCCCTTGTCTGATTTTTTTTTTTTTTTCTTTTTCTAAAGGAATCTGTGTTTGTCCTGACTGTGATGTCTGTTGCTATCCTCGGGCCCTCCGGTTGGATCCTGTCAAACTTGGACCATTACAAAGTCCGAAAGTGATGGAGGACATCATGGAGACTTGTTTGTTAGTCCAATGACTTGCAGCTGAAAGTGCCTGTTGGAATGTTTACTAAATGGGTATTTAATAAACTCTTGTATCACCATATCTAGTGAGCAGGGCTTGTTTTATTTCCAATGTATAAATCAACTGTTGTAGTATAACATACGCGCCACTGGGTGTCGCCAGAGGTGCGTGAGCCGCATTCCTTTTCAAGGTGAACCTTTTTTTTTTTTTTTTCGTTTAAACTTTATATAACAAACCTATAATGTACAAAGACTCGTTGAGGTACAAACATTACAAAAAGAGAACATGGTGCTAAAACAAGAACGGATAAATAAACAACAAGGCCAATGAATTTAATATAGAGAAAGATTTAAAACAAAATAGAAGTAGAAATACTGGCAGTTTTTTTGTGTGTGTGGCAGAAACAGATTTCAATGAGGTGTAATGTTTCAATGAGGTGTAATACAATTTTTAAATAAATAAAAAAATCAAAACATGGAGTAGCACCTCTATTTACAGCAATGTATATATTTGACAATCAAAACAATTTAATTGTGAACATCTGTCAGCAAAACTGTTAAGAGCATGAAATCATAACAGTTTATGTATGGAACTACCACCAGCATGAGAAACGGCTGACTTTATTACTGGATTTAAATGTTTATCTAATTGTACTACTCTATAAAACTCGACTATCAATACCAAGATTTAAAATTATAGATTAAACGTACAAGTTTAAAGGCTATCGGATGAGAACCCAATTTAAATTCCAGTTCTGTCCACTAGGTGTCACCTTCCACGGAAGTGACGTTTTATTAAACCAGCTGACGCGTTCACACAATTGTTGTCCAGCGAGATCAATCAGAAAACTATCCAAAAATCAAAGGGCGGTGGATAAACGGCATGAAGCCACAGCTGTTAGGGGGCCAGGGGCCCGTGCTGGCGCCCTTGCTGCGTGGATCTGATGCCATGCGGTCAATCCAGGAGGAGCTGGTTGCTGCGATACACGGAGCCCTGGAAGCGGCTGTGGAGATCGCTGTCAGAGAGGTGAGGACGCTGGTTGGTCAGGCGACACTCGGTATGCATGAAGAGCTGCGGAGGGAGAACGAGTCTCTGAAGGAGAAGCTGCAGCGAGCAGAGCAGCTGCTGCACTGTGTCACAATGGAGGAAGATGATGGTAGCGACAGACAAAGAGACGGAGCGCCCCACCCTGCTTCCTGCGGTCCAAACACTGTTACACCAGAGGTCAGAGGTCAACCTGCAGGGGGTCAAAGCTGCCTTGGTCTGGATCACCGAGATGTGAGCAGACCATCTGATCGCGATAGGAAACAGCCTGACACCGATGGACAAAAGACTCATAAAGGTAACATGTCAGAGGTTAAAACGTGTCCCCAATTAAATGCAGCTGAGATCCTCCTATAATAAAGTTTGAAACAAGTCATACTCAGTCTTATTTTGATAAAGGACTTTGCTTGTATATCTAATGTTTAAGCGTTTTGTTATAGGCTGCTGAACTATCTCAGTTTTAGCACAGTTTACTGTATGTACACTATTCGTGAAATAAGGACGCCAAGAAATGAATCCCAAATGCACCAGAGAGCTTTATCACAGACCCTTCCTCCCAGCAGCTGTAAGACTTTATAAGACTTGATCACTTTTCCTAATAACCTCAATAATTCGTTACATTCATGCTGATTTTGCAGAGTTTCTACCCTGGTCAGTTAAATTCAAATCAGTGTATTTATATAGCGCCAATTCACAACAAATGTCTTCTCAAGGAACTTTACAGTTCACCAGATCATACAGTCAAATTGATTCAAAGTTTTCTATCTAAGGAAAACCAGCTGATTGCATCGACTCATTGACTTGGATGCAATCCTTCACACTAAGCGTGCTTGTAGCGACAGTGGAGAGGAAAAACTCCCTTTTAACAGGAAGAAACCTCCAGCAGAACCAGGCTCAGTGTGAGCGGCCATCTGCAGAAGCTGACTTGGGTTCAAGGAGACAGAAGCAGAGATACAAAAAGCAGCTGTAAAAGGCGGCCCCGTCCAGGAAACACACAGGATGAAGAGAGCACATCCAGCCAGTCACAGTCAGAGAAACAGGACTACACTGCAAAAACAGGCAGATCTCCAACATTTATAAACAAAGGTGTTGATGGCAGCAGCACAGCTGATATTTCTCGTGTTATTTCAAATAAAATGCTGCTGTCATTTTGCACATCTTTGATGCTATTTTCAAATATCCATTACTGTAGAGATGTCCACAGCTGTATTGGTTATTTATTCTCCAGGTGCCCAGTTTTATATTCTTGAATAACCTTTACAATACAGTATTTTATTTATCTTTTTACTCTTCACTGTTATATTATTCTTATACATTTTTCTAAGGTCCACATTTGTGTGACAATTTTTCTATGATCTTTTTGCTGCTGTCAACACCAGAATTTCCCTATTGTGGAACAATAAAGGGATTTTCTGTTCTTCTAAGAAGACCATCTGTTAGTGATAAAATATTTCTAAATTGCTACTGATTTTAAAATACCTCTGGCAGTATTTTGAGGGTGTAGCTGACTTTATTTGCAGGGATTTCTTCATGAAATCTGACCAGCTCTTGGATGTAGCAAATACCCTTTATAAGTAGTTCATTAAAAAAAACAAACATAAACTTGCTAATAATGCATCTTTATGCACTTTTCTGTTGCATTAAATTTTATCTCATTGCAATCAGATATTTTAAAATTAGCTTCTCCTCTCTTTTCTTAGGGACCATTGGAGGGCTCAGTATTATTAAATCAAACTATGTTTTATCAGCAGGGAAACTAGAGATTTAATGTTGGTTGTGAATGAATGTAAATGAAAACTAAATTCTATTCATCATTTTTGTCAGTTTTCAACTTGCTTCATTTTATTCACAGATGTGTTGAAAATAGAAGGTGTGACCACACCGTGTCGAAACCTACAAGCTCCAGAGTCAGAAGCAGCTCTTAGAACTTCCCTCAATTCTACACTGGAGCAAGTTACTATAAAGCAGGAAGAACCGGAAGAGGAAAGGACACCTATCTGTTTGGACGTAGTTAAAGACGAAAGTTTAGTTTCGGACAGCATTAATTGGCCGTCGGAAGGGACAGATATCCGGTGTCAAGACCCAAAGGCTCAAGTTCTTGATGAAAGGGTGGATCAAGGTAAGAGGCAAACCAGATGAGCTGATAGATGCTGCAATAGTTTTTACACCCTTAATTCACTCAAACTCTTCCCCAGTCCTTTAATTCCTGCTGTATATCCACATAAAACAATATAAGAATTACTTGACAATATAAATAGATTGTAAGTAAGTGAGGTTTATTTATATAGCACAAAGTGCTGTACAATATGAGGCATAGAATACAAAGCATCACTTTAATATAACCAGATATCAACGCTGAGGCTCTTACAGATTAATACAAAATTTATGCAGATCAATGTCCAGAAGCCTCTATAACTGGTATGCCTCAGCTTTTAAACTAACTGGAATCACTTCCTGTGAGTGCTTCCATAGCAAATTAAAAACTTTGTGTCAGATGTTTCCTATTTGCAGGTACCTATTGTCACCCAAGTGCTGTGTGTACTCATGTGTTCCACTGTTGACATCCCCCAGTTTTCATTCATTTTTTTATTTTATTGAGGGTTGTTTTGGTTTTATTCTTCTGATTTATTCTTTTTCTCAACAGCTCGCCCTCCAAACATAAGTAGCAGCCTCACATCAAACTCGGATCTTCAATTAATCTCTCCAGAGTTTTCAAACATCTTCCATCTGGAACCAGCTTCCGTATCACAGGCTCTTCCACAGGTCCAAGAATCCCATATCAAGTCAGGCCGCAGCAGCACCACCATCCCCACGTGTAAGCTTTGTGGTCAGACCTTTCCCCTGCCCAGCTTGTTGCGGCGACACTTTGGTCAGTGCAGCCTGAGGCTCCAACAGCGTGGTCAGCCTCCCCAGGGAGGAGGCACAAAGACCCGGCTGCAGCTTCACCCCCCAGGCTGGAGCCCCTTCCGCTGCACAGTGTGCAGCCGAGACTTCAACCGCTTGGAGAACCTGAAGACTCATCTGCGCATCCACACTGGCGAAAGGCCTTACACCTGCTCTGTGTGCCTCAAGTGTTTCCGTCACTCAGGAGCGCTGACTCGGCATTTCCGCATCCACACAGGAGAGAAGCCGTACGTCTGCGGTCAGTGTGGGAAGTCCTTCAGGAACTGTGGTGGGCTCAAATTCCACCAGCGCACTCACAGCAAAGACCTACAGTAGATTAAAGAAAGTCAAGTTCTTTAAGTGCTGACAGCTATTAAAACACAAATTTATATTCTTCATAAAATTTGAAGTTTATAAAATACCAACACAAGGCTTTTAAATACAGAAGTGTTTGGTTTTCTAAAAATATATATTGCTCAGGGAATGTCTGCTTGACAGGATTCAAGACAGCAGAGTTGCTCATGATTGATTTTGAGCAGAATTTACCGATAAAACAAATTTGTTTTAATCTATGAAAGGCAAGCTAATATCCAACGATCAATTAGCTAGTTACATTTTTAAAAGTTTGTAATTATTCAAAATAAAAGTTTCTTTTTTTGAAATAAAAATATTTTTAATGACATTTTAATTAAAATTCACTTGTTCATAAGCTCATGTGATTTTTTTCCCCTTTATAGCTAATTCCTCCTTCATTCAAATTCTTTCACAAATTGCTATTTTGATCAACTAGAGCTGTAATTATTTAGTAATAAATCCTTTAAAATAGTTGGAATACAAAATGATTTTACCTATATTAATAATTGCAAAGGTGATAATGCTGTAGCAATGATTATTGCAGCTCATGGTGACAGTTTATGTTGTGTTCAGTTCAGTTTTTGCATTTTTGTAATAAGTATGGAAATAAAATATTTTCATTTATTTATTTTTTTGTCCACTTTAGGTTCCTGTCTGCTTAATATTGACTTGTCCATATGTGTTTTAGCATCATAATCACATCGGAGATGGTTGGGGAGAATTGTCAATGGATTGCTTGATTCTCCAGAAATTGGTTTGGAAACAAACTAATCTCATCTAAATAAAGAAGGGAACAACATTTAGGAAGATGTGCAAGTTGCTGCTCAGAGAATGAGTAAACACTTTATGTATCCTATTTATTTTATTTATTTATTTATTCGTTTTTCAGGGACGGTACACATAAATAAACATTTCTGCAAATGTAACAGTATTGGCTATGGAGCTAGTTTCCAACTATTGTCTCCTGGCAAAGTGTATAATGTCAAAAACAATTATGAAGAAATGATAAACAGACATAGAAAATGTAAAAAATTGAGGCTACATACTTAGGGCAGGTTTTAAAGTTCAAACAGAGACATTAGCATACACGTATACAGATATTTAAAAGGTAAAACCCGATCCTGACATTTCTGATGCATGCACTACAGTAGGAGATCTGTAAGGTCTAATGGCAAACAATGGCAATAATAATGGGATCATAAAGAGTGAAAAATATCAGACAAAACAGAAATTTGATACAGACTGATAAAAGCTTGAAAGAGTTTCTGGTTAATTTGACAAAGTATAATACTGTCAGTCAAAAGTCTATATATATTTGGATGACATACTGTATGCCATATCTGGATGGCACATGCAAGCATTATGCCATCCAAACCACCAATTTCTAAATCAAATCCCTACATTGCAAAAAATGGGTGTCTAAAATCAAGAAAAAAAAAAAACATGTACTCAAAGCAAATATAACATCTGTCCATGCAGCAAGATATTTTACTTGTCAGGATTTCTTTATTTAAGATTATTAAATCTAGAAGCTACCTTAGCATGTTGAATACTTAAAACTATGTCTTAAAAGAAGATAAATTATTTTCTAAATGTAAGTTTTGTTTTTTTTATGTTGGTAAGAACCACATAATTTGCAAGTGTACCAACATGCAGTCAAAGTCTGATAGGTAATAATCAGCAAAATAGTAACTCTGGTAAAATTTGGCTGTTCTCCAACTCATAAAGACCTTTTAAATCATCCGGCGTCAAGGAGACAATCATGCAAAGTCAAGAACTTCCTGCCTCTTGACGTAAATACTTGATAAGATCTGTTTGCTCTTAAGATAAGGACACAGTTGGGTTGAGTGTGACTTGTTTTAAACTATTATGACTCTCTAAAGTGGGAATAGAATATTTGTAGTGCAGCAACTGTGAAAAAACTAAGTGCATCAAAGACGTTAGACATGAGCAGCTGATCTGTCCTCATGGCACTTCTAAGGATGAATCTATTTCAGTTACGTCCTATATCATTTGAGAGGCTAATTTAATCAGTTTCCTTTTTCTCTGTTAATTTGATTTTTTTTCTTGTGTAAACATTGTGCTTCAATGAACTCCAGCAGAAAAGCAGCTATCAGTGCAATTGACCATTATCTACTCAGTTTCTAATGTCTGCTTGGAGTCTTAAAATAGAAAACTTCCCTTTTCATCATCTGTATAACGTTCTGCTATTTCATAATTTTGCACAAGAAGAGCAGGATGTAGCACGCAGCACTTAAGGTCGAAGTGAAAGATAACAAATGAAGACTTCCTCCACGATCCTAAAATCAACAACCAGATGGTTTAGACCAAAAACTAATTGGTGTTCCCACAGAACAGTGACCCTTAAACATGCACCAAAAGGGAGGTTTTTGGAATAGATACGCAAGCTAAACTTAATCCTCTGGTGTGACCCTGACCTCATTCCTTTAGATAATGTATTTACCATGCTTAAATGCAATATTCAGCAACAATTTTGCCAAACGTTTATTATTGTTTCTCTGCAATTTGCCCAATGTCACATAATCCAATATAATTAGAGATTATGCCAATATATTATCAGGTAAGCATTTTTATTTATTGTATAGTTTGGCCAAAACATTTCAACAGACTACCAATTATATGAACATGTCAGAGTCCCTTTAGTTACAGAATATGTGGAGGGTGGAAAAGAATTGGGTGATTAAGAAGGATTAATTATTATTTCTCATCAATTCCACATTTCTTTTTGATCAGAAAGTAAAGAAAAAAATTTGTTTTAAATATTTTTGATGATGATAGTTGTGACATTTACAATCTGTTTTGTTCTTAAAAAAATACAAATAAATTACATTGAAAAAAACTAAAAAGAAATATAAAAAACATAAAATAAAAATAAAAATCAGAAAGTAAAGAAAAACATTTGTTTCAAATATTTTTGGTGATGATGGTTGTGTCATTTACGATCTTTTTTTATTCTTTAAAAAACAACAAATAAGTTAAATAATAAAAAAGAAATATAAAAAAATAAAATAGGAAAAAAAAATCTGAAAGTAAAGAAAAACATTTCTTTTAAATATTTTTGGTGATGATGGTTGTGTCATTTACAATCTTTTTTCTTCTTTAAAAATAATACAAATAAATTTAATAAAAATAAAATAAAAAGAAATATAAAAAAATAAAATAAGAAAAAAATATAATCCGAAAGTAAAGACAAATATTTGTTTTAAATATTTTTGGTGATGATGGTTGTATCATTTACAATCCTTTTTTACTACAATTAAATTGTTATTTTTTTTTAAATAAAAAAATATTTAAAAATAATAACAAAATAATAATAAATGAATAAATAAGTTATTTACAATCTAAAACAAATCGTGTCAGTATCGATTGTTCTGGTCTGATCGGGCCGCTATGGAGGTCCTCCATAGGCCGTTCTCTGCTATCAACTATGCGTCCTGGATTAGAAAAGGAAGCGACCATTCTCTGAACAACAGAAAGCTAACAAGTTAGCCGTTTTATAAACAAGACAAGCAAATCCTTCTTGTCGTCCTTCCGCCTTGTAATAGTGTGAATGAGCCCAACTCTTTGGCCAGACTGTCTACATCATGTCACCGGAGCTGGAGGCTCTTCCTTCCTCCGGTCCAGTCATGTCGGTGGGTGTCGTTAGTTTCGCCTGAGCTCCTCTCCCAGCTCCACTGCTGCTGCTGTTGCTCTCTCTCTCTCCTTACAGTAAGTTCTGTATTTTAACATCCTGTTTTTAGATGTATTTAAACAGAAGTACTCCTACATGAACGGTTAGACATGGCGGTCAGTGCTTTGCTCTGTGTTTGGAGCAAACTTTCCTGTTTGACCACATCTCTATCAGGCCACAGCAGCTATTAGCACCAATGGTTGGAGCTCATTTCAAAAGGATTGGCTCTGTTGGAAGTATTCGCACTTTGAAACAAGACCGCTGCCAGTCAGGTATTATACAAACTGCAGAACTTCAATTACATCGGCATATATTTTCACTGTCATGTCCATTACATCGCAATAATATTTATATCCCTTTGATACTGTTCTCCTTCTGTCACTATTGGGACTGAGAAATGAAAGGTTGTGCATTTGTATAAAAAAAAAAACCCTGAGTGTTTTATTTCATTATTTGATAAAGAAAAGGTGCTCTTATTTATATCTGGGGTTTTTTTTCAGGTCCATTTTGTGAACACTTTGTAAAATCACATTCTGTGGCAGAAATAGCTGCAAGTTGTTTGGTGTGGTTTTATTTCTTATTTTCTTCTACAGCTTGGCTTTTTTTTTTCTATGTTCTGCTTCTTCCAAGGTAGCTTAACCTCTCAAAACTTTTATAGCGTTTACAATGAATAACTCAGAATGCATGAAAATTACACCAGTAATATGTTAACCAATATGTTAGACATTGTTGGAAATTTTAGATTCTCAACAATTCAACCACCTAGTTCATTTTATGGACACAGCGAGCACCAAAGCACAATTAATACAGATATAGCAGCATGTCAAAATATAAACATGATAAAGCAGCCACAACAAGCAGGCATGTCTTTATTACTGATGTTCAAAATTATGTAAATATTATTTATTTTTGATTCATTTTTGAACTGATGCAGCTTGGGTTTTTTTTTACTCACCCAATTTTCAAATATATATTCAGAAACTAGAAGGTGTTAACTTTAAAATAATGGATCACACATGTAACTTGGGCTTTTGCTTTTCCATTTGGGTATGCAAAATAGGCGAGAATTTCCCAAAATGAGGTGGATATTAAGAGGTTAAACTCCATTCTTACCTCAGATTCCCAGTTGGAATTATGACTGGACTTTGACTGGGCCATTCTAAAATCACACACACCTTGACTTTAGTCAGAGGAGGGTAGAGAACCTAAAAACCTGAAGCAAGCTAGAGTAGCGGTGCTTTAATATGTATTTACTATGTACAGTTGAAAGCTTTCATCCGAGTATTTTCTCCAGTAAGAGATAGAAAGTACCCGTTAAAATGGTTCCTCAATTAACTGTTGGCTCTTAATATCTGAGTTAATGTTTAAACTCATGTAATCAGACAGCTGTATGCTAGTTCTGGTCATTCTATTTTAAAGTATAAGATAACATGATACAAAATTTAAAATGACAAATAAATGAAAGGAACATTAAAAAAAACATTTACATAAAAAACATAACCGTTGTGAATAGGTGCTATATAAGCTAAATTGAACTGAATAAAACTCTTATTTTTTTTCCAAGCTGAACTTATAAACCCAAATCTTACAGTAGATGATGCATGTATGTTAGTAAACGATAAAGAACTTTGTGCTGCAAAATCTTCTATTTACTGTATTTTCACCTGATCTCTGAATAGTTCAAACTATTCATGACAGTTTGAATAAGCAGACAATGTAAATAAGTAGGAGTAAGAATACACTGACAGGGATATTACTTGATTAAAATAAGAAAGTATCATAAACCATAACTATCTATCTATCTATCTATCTATCTATCTATCTATCTATCTATCTATCTATCTATCTATCTATCTATCTATCTATCTATCTATCTCTAAAAATGTGAATATATCACTATTTACATCAGTATAATATTCAACAATAATATTGCTATTTTTTAATAATATTCTGAAACCTTCCATAAACTTTGTATGAACGCATTGTTCTGTTAAAATCTTACTCAATTATTGCATAAACATGCTACCATATCCGTGTGCTGTTCATCTTTCCACTTTTTTACTGATCTAGAATTTTTTTCTATAGCACGATACACTAGATAGATTTTACACATGTTTTTCGGATAAGGTTTAGCCAATGTTTCTCTTAAAACCTTTCTGTTTGACCCCTTGAAATGCTTTCCACAGACCATAACAGAAGTGCTCTTAGAAGCAGTTCTTTATGAGTGACTGACTTTTGCAGTATAGGTTTCTCGTTTCATTGATTGCGTTGTGCCTGCTTGTCTTTTTTTCCCAACCCTCTAACTAGAGATCGTGATGCACAGCACTGGAGAAACCTCCCAGGGTTCGGGGGAACGGGGGGAGCTAGTGCACTCGTTCTCTAAAGAGAATCCTGGGTCTCCGGATGCCTCTGAGTTAGGGAGTCCACGCTGCCCTCCAAACTTTGACCTCCTAAACATGGTGGTTTCCTACAAGAGAATGGCTCTGTTTCTAGAACCAGTGGTAGATGCAGTGGAGCTGATCCGGTATCTTCTCGGGTATTTTTGCAGCCTTGTATCTTTATATATTTATACATTACCCATCAACAAAAACGATGTCTTTTCCTAAAAATGTTAATTATTTACGTTTTTTTTCATTGCACAGATGGAAAATGCCGGTGTGCTCTTTTCTTGTGTGGATATTCCTCAATGTCTTCTTTTGCACAGTTACTAAAGGTACGTTGAGGCGTTAATGTTAACCCTACTGTCTTTTTGTGGATTTTAATAATTAATAACACAGTTTTTTTGTTTTTTTTTTCTTCTTTGGTATCAGCTGGCTGGTTCATAGTGATTGCAGTGGCAGTTTCAGCACCTGCTGCCCTGGGTTACCTGCAGGACAGGTGTGGGAGCAGAGTGTCTGAAGCTGAGCTTCAGAAGAGGCGTTTTCACGCTGTGCATCGTAGAGACCTGCAGACGGTGAACCTCACCAAACAGGAGGCCATGCTGGAAATCAAAGACCTGTAAGACACAACCTGCAAGGTTGCAGGCAATCATTGTATGACCTTCAGCCCATAAATACTTGTATTAATGAATGTTTAATGAAAGCCAGTCTGTGTCTTCACTCTAATTGTAAAAACCTAAGTTTTGATTTTCACCTCCTAAATTAGAATCAGACCAAAAATGTATGGTCAGATCCAATGGGATTTCTCAGTAAATTTTTGTTTTTTGATCCAAAATAGAGTGCCAGTCCAATACAGTATTATAGTCAGTAAAGTAAATGCTGTATATCCTCAGAAATCAAAACAAATTAGTCTCACCAATATTCTACATGCTGAGGCATGTTGTTCCAGTTGGAATTTCTGCATGAAAGTGCTGGTATCCTGCCCTGCCCTATAACTGACCCAAAATCCAACTGTAGTCTAAACTGATTAATTTCTCCTACAGAGGAATTTTGCTAAATTGAGAAACTAAAACTAGCTTATTCACCCTGTTTTGATCTGACTCATCCAACCTATAGTGAATTTCAGTTCCTGTTACTTGTACAGGTGACACTAATTGAAACTTGTTTTTCTGTCGTAAACATTGTTTTGCGCTAAACATTATCAAATTTAATGGCTGTAGTTTCAGCGACTTTCTGAACTGCTCCCCTCGACCAGGGGGCATAACAAAACTCACAGAGGGTTACAGGAGCCGCTACAGTTTCCATTTAACTGGGATTTCTTGATAAAGGGGTGTATATATATATTTGAGCTTTTTTAGGAAAATGCAATTTGTTGGCTTTGAGGATTCAAATTATTGAGGGATTTGGTTATCAATAATTTGAAATCACTGACAGATCATTAGACCAGGACACTCCTAATCCAGCAGTAGCCAGATTGATATGTGTAGAACTGAGTTGAGTTCTATGTTGTCAATCTGGGATGGCTGCCATTCAGTATGTCCTTGAAAAGGAAGGAGGTTTAGTACAATACTTCCAGCTGATTGGGTGACGTGCCAGCTAGTACCCGCCTTCCATAATACGCTTTCAGCCATTCGTAGCAGTGAATCATGACGTTTCGTAAGGTGACAAATCAAACTTTTACCAAATCCTGTCGAAAGAAAAGCTCAGACATCTTTATCATTTACCAATGCACAAAGTGCTTCTCTTTGGGTTTTTTTTTAAACGTAAAATTGATGCTATTTTAGCTCAAACTGAGTCAATTGCGGTATCGACAGGTGAGTCCTCCAGCACAGCTATGTTTGTAATACCTCAGCAAGGCCCTTCTGACTGTCGTCATTCTTGCATGTACTGCCTAAAAAACATTGCTGGCATTTCATTGGTTTGACTCGCTGGTTCTTTGGAGATGCACGTATGGGTGGGACTCTTTCAAGATGGACTTGTTGTGAGCCTGAAAACTCAGATCTCGGGACAGTCCAGCTTGCAGCGCAATGTTAGGATACTCCCACATGAGTCCATAAATTTATCTTCACTTTTGCTATGTTTTGTTTTTTGGTACGACAGATTAGTTTTGGCTGACTGTATGAAAGAGGCCGATTTGAGGCATGAACATGAGTTCTTGTTTTATATGGAGATCTGACATAGTTTTAATATTTTGTTTTTCTTGAAGTGTAAGGGTCGTAAGGGTTTTTTTTGAGAGCGGGGGATTGAAAGTTGGTCAAGTGTTTGTGATGTTTTGATGGGCAGTTTTAAACCAAAAAAAAATATTTGGCTGTTTACACAATAACCACAGTTTTCAACTGAAGTGTGCCTTGTAAGACTTTCCACACAATGACGATGCAGAAGTTAGCCACAATATAAATGTAAATGCATTTTAGTTATAACTGTGTTGAAGTTTCTTCCTATTTTTTTCATTTGTGTTCATTTTATGTTTCTTTACCAACTAGGCTGAAGCACTTGGATGAGATGTTGTCCTCTGCTTGTCGGTCAGCGGAAGCTATTTATAAGGTCTTATACTGGGATGATCATGCCACATCATCAAGGTCTGTGTGTCACTCACACACCCAAACACACAAATCCTTTTCCACTGCATGAAGTTCACTCACTGTTGTTCAATAGCCTCACCTTTGGAACTAGAAATAGACCGAATAATCGACTTTATTTTTGGCCGATATTGGCGTTGTTTTTCTTGTATTGGATTTGGCCAATACGATATGTTCATTTGTGCATTCAGCAGCCATGCCTTGAGATCACTTTAACGACATGCATCTCTGCTCCCTCCATTAGTGAAGGTTTTTGTTTGTTTAAACTGAGACTTGTGTAACATTTGTAGTTGTTGGCTGAACAATTTTCCCAAAATTCTAAATTGCAATTATTTTCAACCAATACTGCAATTGTAATTGTATTTTTGTTTTCCTTTGCATGAACCACACACTTTTTTCATGACCATGACAGCTTGCTTTTCAGAGTCAATTTTTGCAGGAGTTAACAGTAACTTCTGTGTGAAAAAGTGTTTGCATGTATTTGCATACATGAACCTGCATGCTGACTGCAGCTCTCTCAACTTTTCAGTTTGCCGGCAACCCATTTAAAAAGAATTACCGCTACCTAAGGGGCTGCAGTGAAAAATGTAGTGTTAAATATATTATGACCAAAATTTAGTGCCTCTGCAATTTGAAAATTGTGTTTTATAAACTTGTAATTTTATTGCAAATGCAATTAATTGCTGAGCCCTAAATCATTGTCATTTTTATCATTTATGTAAATGGAAAAAGAAAAAATTTTTTGGACTAAAGAATCAGCCCAAAAATATAATCAGAAAATAATATCAGGGATCAGTTAGACAGATCTCAAAATAATTGGTATCGTTCCTCTTCCATAAAACCTGTATCAGTTAATCTCTACTTGAAACTGTTAGTATTGGAAAATTCTATGTAATACACTTGTTAGAGTATAACTTATTTAACTACATCCTGCTCCTATTGGGGAATTTAATGTTTAGAATTCCTATATGAGATGGAAAAGTTTTTCTATTTGTCACAAAAATGTTATTACCGTATTTT